TGGATAAGTGATTATTCTCTAATAGTATGTTTTGATTTTTTGCTTTTGATTTGTAGTGCATTTAGTGTAGATTTTTTGTGGTTATCATGAGGCTAAAATATTTTTTATAGTTAAAACAGTTTATTTGAAACTGATAACTTTGATCACTTATAAAAAAATAAGACTACGTGTTAATTGTACTCTCTCCTTCAATTTTGAATTTTTGATGTCACAATTCACATCTTTCCATATTGAATATTCCTTAACAATTTATTGTAGTTACTGTAAATTTTAATAGTTTTGTCCTCTATTCTCTCTTTTAAAGATATAAGTGATTTTACATACCACCATTACATTATTAGAATATTCAAAATTTGACTATATACTTACTTTTACTGGTGAGTTATACTTTCAGATATTTTTGTATTTCTCATTATCATCCTTTTCTTTCAACTGGAAGAATTTCATTTAGCAATTTTTATAAGACAGTGCTGTTGATTGTGAACTTCCTTAGCTTGTGTTTATCTGGGAAACTCTATCCTTGATTTCTGAAAAATAAATTTTTATGGTACAGTATTCTTAGTTAGAAGTTGTTTTTCTTCAGTACTTTTAATATGTCATCATATTTTCTCCTGGCATGTAAGGTTTCTGTTGAGAAGTCTGCTGTTAGGTATACTGGAACTCTCTTGTTTGCTTTTTTATTATTTTCTCTTGTTGCTTTCTGGATCCCCTCTTTGTCTTTGATCTTTGACAGTTTGATTATAATGTCATGGTAGTATTGGATTCAATCATACTGGACACCTTTTACCTTCTCATATCTGGATATTTATATCTTTTTCCAGGTTTGGAAAGTTTTCTGCTGTTACTTTTTAAAATAAATTTTCTACAGTGTTATCTACTCTCTCAAACCTCAATGACACGTTTTTGCTCTTTAATGCTGTCCCATAAATTTTACGTTTTCTTCATTCCTTTTCATTCATTTTTCTTATTCTCTTACTGTATACGTTTAAATGAATTGTCTTTAAGTTTACAGATTTTTTTTCTTCTGCTTGATCACTTCTACAGTTGATGCTCTCTATTGAATTTCTCATTTTGTACCTTGTGTATTTTAGCTCTAGTATTTCTGTTTAATTTTTAAAAACTATTTTCTTTGTTAAAAATTACTGTTTTTTTTTCTTGAAGTTCACTGAACTTTCTTTTTTTTTTTTGATTTTTTATATTATTATTATACTTTAAGTTCTAGGGTACATGTGCATAACGTGCAGGTTTGTTACATATGTATACTTGTGCCATGTTGCTGTGCTGTTGGATGCAACATTTCAATCGTCAGTCACCCTACGTCGTCATTTACATAGGATATCAATGCAATCCCTCCCCCCCTCCTCACCCCATCCCCGCATGATAGGCCCCCGGGTGTGGTGATTGTCCCCCCCTTCCGAGTCAAGTGATTCATGGTTATCCCGACTATGAGTGAGAACATGCGGTGTTTTTGGTTCAGTTCTTTTTGTGTTTGCTGAGAATGATGGTTTACAGCTGGCATCCCATTGTCTACAAGGGACATCATCTTTTTATGGCTGCATAGTATTCCATGGTTGTATATGTGCCATTTTTTAATCCAGTTGGTCACTATGGGGAATTGGGTTGTTCCAGTCGTTTGTTATTGTGAATAGTGGAATGGACTATGTGCATGGTTTTATTAGGGCATGTTTTATCTTTTGGGTAATACAGTAATGGGATGTCTGGGTCCTAATGGTACTTCTTTCTACACCTTGAGGATCACATACTGTTTACCTATGGTGACTAGTTACAATCCCATTCACAGTTAAAAGTTTCCTTTTTCCACATCCTTCCAGCTGTGTTCCTGACTTTTTAATGATTGCATTTACTGGAGGTTGAGTTGTATCTTCATTGTGGTTTTGAATTTGCATTCTTGGATGGCCCAGTGGATGAGGGAGATTTTTACCATGTGTCTGGTGGCTGTATGGAATTTTTCTCTTTTGAAATGGTCTGTTTCATAATTTACATTGCATTTTGGATGGATTGTTTGTTTTTTTTTTGCTTGGTAATTTGGTTTGGAAGTTCTGTGTTTGGTTTTAGGCCCTTTGTCAGATTGAGGCGGATTGCAAGAAATTTCTCCACATTCTGGTAGTTGCTTGTTCACTCTGATGGTATTTTCTTTTTGTGTGGCAGAAAGTCTTTGTTTATTAGATCATTTGTAATTTTTTGGCTTTTGTTGCTGGTTGGCTTTATGTTTTTAACATGAAGTTCCTTGGCCCATGTGTATGTTCTGAATGGTAGGTATTACCTAGGTTTTCTTCTAGGGTTTTTATGGTATTAGGTCTAACATTTAACATTTTTTTTTTAGTATTTTCTTGAAGTTCACTGAACTTTCTTAAACTACAGCTTTGAATTCCTTGCCAGATAGTTCATTCATGTTGGTCTCTAGTGTGCATCACTGGCAGCTTATTTTGTCCCTTTGGTGATGTCATGTTTCCCTGATTGTCTTTTTGCATTGTGGTCAAGTGTTGCTGTCTACACGTTGAAGAAGTAGATATTTATTCCATTCTTCTCAGTTTGACTTTATTTTAGGTCATCGTTCAACAGTAAGTCTGTCTAGGGTTTCTGAGTAGACCATCTGGTATGGACTGCTGTTATTGGTGCAGTGCTAGGGAGTGCCCTAAGCCTAGAAGTGCTTTGGGTGGTGCAGCCCAGGCTGGAAAATTTTGGGCTCCCACAGCTGACCTAGCATCAGGCTTACTTTCATGGTTCCTAATGCTGTTGCAGTCCTGGGTGGTTCCTGAATCCCACGGCTGCTGTTGCCTGCTTGCCGCTAAGTATTTTCTGTAAAGGAAGGTCGCTGCAGTCATCTGTCGGTGATATGGGCCAGAACTCGAGTTTTTCTCAAAGGACCATTGGATTCCTGTCTGGTACCAGTGTCAGTTTAGATGCTTAGATTGCAGGTACCTGTCAGGAATCAGAGTCCATGAGCGTTTTATAGTGGTAGATTTGTTGTTAAGCACAAAGGCAAATTTATATGTTCACTTCCCTCTCTATTTTTCAAGTAAACAGTATCTTTTTTTTTTTGCTCTACTGCCTGACGTTGGGGGAGGGATTGATATGGGTAATGTAAAACATTCTTTACATCATCAATGTTTCTTTTTTAGTATTAGTCTATAGCAGGTACTATGATTTTTTGCTTGTTTTCTCTCTTTTGAACATATTTTCTTTCACATATGGCTAGTTCAAATTGATGTTTCTGTGAGGGTGGAGAATTACTGGAGAGCCCTACTTCACCATCTTCAGTGATTATATTTTTTGCATGTTCTATTGTCTGCTATGGAGTTATCTTTTGTAATTTTACAAATCTCTACTACTTTTTTTTTTTTGAGACAGAGTCTAACTGTATCACCCAGGCTGGATTGCAGTGGCTCAATCTTGGTTCACTGCAACCTCTACTTCTTGGGTTCAAGCGATACTCCTGCCTCAGCCTCACGAGTAGCAGGGACTACAGGTGCATGCCGCCACACCTGGCTAATTTTTTGTATTTTTAGTAGAGACGGAGTTTCCCTGTGTTAGCCAAGATGGTCTTGATCTCCTGACCTCGTGATCCGCCTGCCTCTGCCTCCCAAAGTGCTGGGATTACAGGCGTGAGCCACCACGCCTGGCCAAATCTCTGTTTACTCTTATACCATTTTTATATTTTATCTTGTTCTTGGGATATTAAGGATTATAGACATCTGTGAGTTTTATCATAATTATTTCATATTTAAGACTTCTTGGGTTCAGAACTGTGTGTATTGGTGATATGAACACAGATGGTGCCCTTGTTAACCTGTAGGTAGTACGTGATAGTCTCACAAGTCAGGAATACAACCTCAATACAGAAAAGAAGCTGATCCTGTTTCCTGAGTTTTATAAAAAATAGTCATCCTTTGATATCAGAGGGATTGGTTCCAGGACTCCCGATGAATACCAAAATCCACAGATGCTCAAGTTCCTTATAGTCAGCTTTTATATCTGTGGTTTCTGTATCGTTAGATTTAACCTACTGTGGATTGAATTTGATCCACAGTTGGTCAGATTTGTGAATGTGGAACCCACAGATATGAGGTGTTGAACATAGTGTCTTTATCTAGAAATACACATACTAGATGACACAGACATTCATTAAATAAAAAAGAAAAATAATAGGCTATTGATTTGCAGGTGCTGAGTATGGTTAAGAAGTGACATCTTGAATGTAGAAACATAATAGTAGAATAAGGGGTGAACTAGCAAAAGCATTGTATCTGTTCCTGTGAAAATATCCTTCTACTTCAGTAACTTTTGAGAAAATCATTATAATAGTTAATATAAGAGGCGTCAAGAAAGATGTAAATAATGTTTAGAATTCTCAGTAATAACATATTTTACTATCTATTACATTTGGATAGTTTTCAATGAGAATTTGTTTTCTAAAATTGGATATTTTAAGCTTTGGTTACATGTAAGATTTCTCTAGCATACTGTTTACAATGTTTCTGAATGGTGAAGTGCTACTATTACTTGTAAAAGTGTTAATGTACTGCTTAGCAGTTTTCTTAAAATACTTTTTGCTGAACTCTTTTCTAAGGCTAGAAGAGATACAAGCAAATAACACCTATGTTTAGACAAATATTACATGCACCTATTGTGGTTTTCTCATTATTTTCATTACAATGTGATGTTTTTATTGTGTACCTTATTTCATTTTTTGTTATCACATGAAAACTGGCATCATTCTTATGGTAGATAAATAACTGAGCATTTAAAAATCAACCTTGGATCCAGTGCAATAATACAGGACTGTTGTTTAAACACTAGTTTTAAAACTAGAGAAGAGTATAAAATGTGGTAATGGAAGTTTCCCCCATAATAATTATATTAAATGTTTCAATTCTCTTGTTTTCTGAATTTATTTTTGATTTTATAAATAGAACTACATCTGAAATACTTTTTTAAACCTTATTCATTATAAACCTTTCTCTCTTTCTCCCTCTTAGCAATCTTCCTGAGCTCTTTTCGGGTGCCATATGAGGAAATCAGAATGATGATATTGGAGGTAGATGAAACACGGTTGGCAGAGTCTATGATTCAGGTAAACAAACAGGCACAGCTTAAATTTCAATATTTCATTGCAAGCTTCTCATTAAATAGAAATCTGTAAGTGAAGCAAAATTCTTCACCCAAATCATTCAACTGGAAAATCATTGCTGCATAATTAGTTTTAGCATAACTTCTGCATTACCAGGAGAGAAAGCTGCATCTTCTCTTAACTGCTCATGAAATATAATGCTATCAAATGATTGCATTTTAAGTATTTTAAGTTATTGTTTCTGAAAGGCAAATTGTTTAATTTTATGTTTTTATTTTTGTTATACTTTAGATTATTAATGTGTTACTTAAAATTTGTTTCTATAGCCCTTTTAGAATGTGTTTTTCTTTGGCTTATGAAGATATTATTATACGGTTTAGAAGATCGAGGGAGTTTTCATTTATAGTTACCTTTACTAACAATTCTTCTTTGAGTCATTTGGGCTACTATGAGTATTAGAGATTGTTTACATAGTATTTTGAATTTATTCAGAAGGCTAGAAGATTTTCGTTAATGATTTTTATTCATAGTATTTTCAAATGAATGCTAGCATCATGTTGAAGTTATTGCTGAGTTCCACATAAGAAATCAATAATGTATATCTTGATAAAATTTAAAGTTGGAGAATCAAAACACAAATTATATAGTGAGAGATTATCTTCAGCTTACCATCTTTTGTTCTAATATCGGATATATTTAGGAAAATGATTACTTAGCAATAAAAAGAAACCAAATACTTGTTAGTGCCAACAAGCAATTAAAATTATTTTGAACATTTTAACTAATCAATAAATTATATCTTTGGAAGTTGTTCTAAGTTTTGCCTTTCCTATCTTGTCTTCTAAATGTAGTGATCATAATTTCACTAGTGATTTGTGCTGTGAGTCTCTGAGACTAATAAACTACCTGATTCAGCTGCTCTTATTTAAGCATTTTTTTCTCTTTCACTTTCTTTTTACTGGATTTTCATATTCCTTCATGTTGATTATGTGTGTGCCTTCTTGCTGGGAATAGATTCCAACTTCCTTAAATAAAATTTTTCTACTTAATACTTGTTTGTATTTCTTATAATGAATTAGTTAAATATTTACAGAGTAGCTTTTAGCTTGATTACATGAATGTTTTAAATGAACATGTCGTTTTGTTATATAATAGAAAAGAGATGATTTGCTTTTTAAAATTCATGTCCAAAGTACATTCAGCTCCATATATTTTGTAACGTATTAGTTTTTTATTGGTACTGTAACAATTCACCAAAAACTTATTTGCTTAAAATAATACAAATTTATTATCTTACATTCCTGTAAAACAGAAGTCTGATATTGGTCTTACTATGCTAACATCAAAGTACTGGCAGAATGGCCTGTGTTTCTTTTTGTAGGTTCTAGGGAAGAATCTGTTTGTATTTCCAGCTTCTCATGGTTGTTCATACTCCATGGCTAATAGAACCATTCCTTCATCTTCCAAACCAGCAATCTTGCATTCCTCGATTCCTTTGTCTCACAGTCACATCTCCCTCCAGCTCTATTGTTTTTCTCTCTTCTACTTTTAACAACTTTTTGATTACATTGGGTACATCCAAATAATTCAGGATAACCACTCTAAGGTCAGCTGATAGCAACTTTAATTCCATCTATAACCTAAATTCCCTTTGCCATGTAACTTAATATTTTCATAGGTGTTGGTGATTAGTCATGTACATCTTTAGGAATGGATGTCATTATTGTGCCTATCATACTTTCTAAATATAAAACCAGCCTTGGATATTTCTAAAAGGTAAAAATTTAGTTTGAACATATATAAGGTTTTAATATATTCATTAAAAAGTAAAAATTTCTTGCTATTTGAACTCTTAATTTTAAAAGTATAGTCCTCATTTTAATGTGAAGAACTTCCTATTTGACCAGGGCACGGAAACAGAGCTTTATGTTACAATAATCATGATTTTGGTTCTTTGTGTTCACTGTGATGGTTATATTTTGACATATTTAGTTATTTATTCGTATATATGTACAGGTCAGCAGTATGTCATTGTTTTGCCATTTTTCATGTCACTTTTCCACATCATTTCTTACCCATTTACCTTTGTTTGTCACACCAGTCATTTATTAATTCATTTTGCAAATAGTTTATTTTATGCACCATATTCAGGGCATTGTATTGGGCTCAATGATTTTTATTTTTTATTACCTTTGTTTCTTTTTGAGACAGAATGAGACTCTGTCACCGAGGCTGGAGTGCAATGGTGTGATCTCAGCTCAGTGCAACCTCCGCCTCCCGGGTTCAAGCTCTTCTTCTGCCTCAGCCTCCTGAGTAGCTGGGATTTCAGGCGCCCGCCACCATGCGCAGCTAATTTTTGTATTTTTAGTAGAAATGGGGTTTCACCAGGTTGGCCAGGCTGGTTTTGAACTCTTGATCTCAAGTGATCTGCCCACCTTGACCTCTCAAAGTGCTGGATTACAGGCGTGAGCCGCAGCACCCAGCTGTATGTTAGGCTCAATAAGAATTAGACTTGATCTTCTTGGAATTTATGATTTGGCAAGGGAAATGATATTTACATACATAATTGTAAAGCAAGGAAAGCAAAGTTTTAAGATTGGTTTAGACCTATAGAATATGTTGAGGGCATATGCTTTGTGAGTGTACATGTGGAGGCAAGGGTATGTAAAGGTTGAATAAGTATAGATGTAGAATAGAGCAGAGGAGTTGCGTGAAAAATGTAGTGAGAGGCAATTGTTTTGGCAGTAATAATACTGTGGGCTGTGAGGGAAGCTGGGCATGTGTGCATATCTGTGCAGAATTTAGCTGAACAAGAGCTTAAGATTTGCAAAGGGTATGGGGAATTTGTAAGGGGAGAAACAAAGGGAGATTGCGACCATGCACTTAAAATCACAATGGTATTTTTATGTTAGAATGTAAAATTAATGAAGTGAAAAAATTAAAAAAGTTTGGATTAAAGATGAAAATCTAATTATATATGAGATATTCAGGGGGATTTGATTGTCATCTAAAAGGATGCTAAAGAAATTCAGAAGCCTGAAGTAATAAAATCTAACTCACAATCCAGCTGTCAACTAGAATGGGTCAAAAGAAAATATAAATAACCATGTCTTTTGGTCTCAAGCAATTCCACTAAGAGAAATTTCTGTTTATGCGGGGAAATCATATACTTTTATTTTTATTCAATTTGATATTATTAATAGTGAATACTTGTCTAGGGATGATCTTAAAATGCCACCTTTTTTTTGTTTTGTTTTTGGCCAGTTAACCAAGTTTTTGTCCAAAGGTACACAGTGAGTCAATAACTTATTCTTTGATCTAATTGCTTTTGATGTATAACATTCTCTAACAGTATTTTTAACTAATAACACCTTTGGGGAATTTCTCCCCATAAATCTATATAGCATGATTTAGGCTTAATTATAGTTTGTATTCGACTTTGGGCTTGTACAGAATTTACTTATGCTGTAATTTGCAATTTGGAATTGTGAGCACCAACCACTCTTTTTTATCTTATTTTTAATATCAATGCACTAACTTCTTGTAACACTATTATAGTTGACTGTATTTTGATACAGAGGATCTATATAGACTTTGTCCAAGGGATTGTTTAATCATTTAAGTTCTATCAGGAAGACATAATCTTGTGTATTCCTTTAATCGTTCTTCAAGTAGTTCTGTTGTTGAAGTGTGTGGCTTACTTAAGTTTCTAAAGGACCTCTACATGCCTTTTATCTGCAAGGTATATCAATCATCATGTATCTTCAACACCTTTTAAAATTTCTTTCACATCAGAAAAGTTACTTTGTTTTAGAGACATCTTCAGTTTTTAATATTAAAACTGTAATCCTATTAGTAAATCTTACAAGCACTGCCATTAAAATTCCCTTGATTTCTATTCTATCCCTTCCCATGCCTTTTTGTAACAATATGATGATTTCTTTTATACCCCTGAGTGAAGTGTTAAAATATGTTTGGCTTTGCCTGAAACTTCTGACATTTAATTCCCTAAAGCTGAAATGTAATGGATCACATTCATCCAGGTGAGAAAGCTGTTCCTTTGGTATAGGTTGAGTTCTCTTTCTCAATTATATAGCTAATCAAATAAACATTCAGTTTCAGTAGTGCTTGATTTGAATATATAATAACTCCAGGATAGAGAAATGGAAAATTGACTGTTTTCAAGATGCAGGGAATTTTCCTTAAGGCTTATTAGGAGGGAGGTTACCTAGAAATAAAACTGAAGATTAACTTCACTGGTTTTCTTTCAGTAGTTTTTAAATTATATTTTTAAAATTCAAGAAGTACATTTAGTGAAGATCTTTCCTTCTGGTTTTAATTTTTAGAACTTAATAAAGCATCTTCCTGATCAAGAGCAATTAAATTCATTGTCTCAGTTCAAGAGTGAATATAACAACTTATGTGAACCTGAGCAGTTTGCTGTCGTGGTAAGTACCGAGTCTCAGGGAGGATTTTTATACTGTGCCAAACAAGAGAACCTGTCAAGTGTTTTTATATCGCCAAATGTAAAAAAGCATGTAAGCAATCACCTACATTTCATATCCATCTTACTTTTTTTTAACTTAAGGTTATTCATGTGAAATTATCTTGATTTAAAATATACATTGAAACTCTGGCATTAAGTGAAGTCCAAAGGGCTTTTGAGAAGTGTATGTATAATTTCTTTTGCTCTCTATTTAATGTCAAAATGTAAAATAAAACTGTACTTCTTATGAATAGAGAGGTATATTTGTGATTTATTCTAGAGCTGTGTATTCCAACATATTGCAAGAGTAGCTTCAGTTTCTCTTTCTGATCACTTACTTGAATTCAACTCATAGTAGACTGAAATTATAAATATAGCCTCTTTCTTAGCAATGAAGATGAAAAATGAATTCACTTTAGAAAATCTTTGAGGTACCTTGATAATCATCTTGTTTCAGCCTTTTATTTATAGAAGCTGGAGTCTAAAGTGGTGAAAAAGAATTTCCAATGGCATATATTAGCTGTATTGCAACTTAAAATTTTAAGATTTTTGTCAAGATTTCTTTTCTGTGCTTTTTTATCCTACCGTCAAATTGTTATTTTTAGGTTGGTTACACTTTGTCATTATAACAATATTATAGTGTTGTTTCTCTAGTAAGATTATTTTTCCCCTTTCATCTTCAGTTATATTAATAATCTCCAGGAATTTTGTTTGACAGAATTTTAAAAGTTCAGGTTGATTTACTTAATAGCTGTGCCTGCACCTCATATTTGGCATGTTGTAGACATTTGCTTTTAAATTCCTTCCTATCTCTTCATAAACACACTCTACTCCTCGCTACCACCAAAGTTAAAAAAAAAAAAAAACTCCAAATAGAACACAAAAGGAAAAAGCATGATTTTCCTTATTCACAGTCTATTTTTCGTTTTTGAATACTTGAGAAAGAATCTTGCTCTATCACCCAGGCTGGAGTGCAAGTGATGCGATCTCGACTCACCACAACCTGCGCATCCCGGGTTCAAGTGATTCTCCTGCCTCAGCCTCCTGAGTAGCTGGGACTACAGGTGCCAACCACTACACACAGCTATTTTTTTGTGTTTTTAGTAGAGACAGGGTTTCAACACATTGGCCAGGCTGGTCTCGAACTCCTGACCTCAGGTGATCCACCTGCCTCTGCTTCTCAAAGTTCTGGGATTACAGATGTGAACCACCCTGCCGGGCCTGTTCTAAAACTTTTAAACTCATTGTCTTTAAGAAAACAAAAAAAGTTTTTGCTTTTTAATCCAATTCTTGAGGGTATTCTCTTCCCTGCCTGCTCTTTTTCTGTCTCCTTTTTTCTGTATTTCCTTGCTTGCTTTCTTTTCTATTATCTGGTCAGTTTGTCTATTTGACACTCTATTTGCCATGTCTTCCATATGAGAATAGGTGGATAAGGGAGAATTTGCATTACATTTTAACCACAGACTATTTAGAGTGTTTGTTTTTACCTATGTTTTGACACTTGAATTAAAATAATATGTTAAATTACAATTTTGAAATATTTCCCATATACATTAAATCTGATACCATGCAGGTTTATATGACAAAATGCCTATCTAACAATAGCTTTTTTTTTTTTTTTTTTTTTTTTTTTTTGAGACAGAGTCTGGCTCTGTCGCCCAGGCTGGGTGCAGTGGCCAGATCTCAGCTCACTGCAAGCCCGCCTCCGGGTTTACGCCATTCTCCTGCCTCAGCTCACGAGTAGCTGGGACTACAGGCGTCCGCCACGTCGCCCGGCTAGTTTTTTGTATTTTTTAGTAGAGACGGGGTTTCACCATGTTAACCAGGATGGTCTCGATCTCCTGACCTCGTGATCCGCCCGTCTCGGCCTCCCAAAGTGCTGGGATTACAGGCTTGAGCCACCGCACCCGGCCACAAGTAGCTTTTTATGTTGCCTATCATTATAGTAAAGATTTATAACTACTGTGTTCTAGTGATTCAAGAAGACTGCTCAAATTTGCAGATATTTTCAATTTACTTAAAATCGCCATGTTATGCCTTGTTAAGAGTTCACATCAAAGAGCTTTGATTTACCAAGAGTGTACTTTTAGGTATCAGCAGTTAAAACAAATGTATTCCCAGATACCAATGCTAAAGGTAATAGTTTTGATTTTAAGATGGGAATGGACCACTTCCCTTTCAGGACATGTCAACTCAAACTTGATCTGGAATCTACACATTCCATGCTGGGTCATACCTGAGTGCCATTGGAATATAATTTGGAAAGTGTAATGGTGTTGAAAAACATCCTCTATAAGCAGTATAAACAATGCTTTAGTCACCTATTGATTATGACAATATACTCTTGAACAAATTGTTTTAAGTTCTGGTTTCTGTGGTACTAATATTTTAAAAGGTAATTGTATTGGTGGAAAAATCAGACTGAAAGTTGAGGAACAAAATGAAATATTTTTGTTTTGTTCTATTTTTTGTCAAGTAGTAATGTTCTTAGATTTTACCTTTTTCCATTTCTATTTTTCACCATTTCCAATTTGGCTCCCACTACTTCTCAACTTCTGCTCTCCAAAAAGAAGTTGGAAACCTGCTTAAAGATCCAAACAATCCTTGATAATTAACTACCCCCCGCCCCCGCCAAAAAAAAAAAAAAACTGGACAAAGAGTGTTAGACAGTCTGGAATGTCTGAAATTTTCTGTACTCCTTTCTAGATTAAAAACTTTTGCTAACTTACTAAACAATGATGTGTTTTCAGTTTATCAACATTGTATCAGTAATACAGTAATTTGATGATTTTAAGAAATTGATTATAATTACCATATATATTTCTGTAAGTCTTCCATAATATTATTTCATTTTTAAAGTAATAAACTTTTTGAAGTGTTTGTATAAAAAATGGGCAATTAACTTGAAGTGAACTAAACTCCAGATATCTATAAGACATCCTTGGCTTAAAAACATGTTTACTTCTTGATTTAGCCTAGATTTAAAGTATGTTAGAAATGTACTAATCATTTTTACCTCAGAAGTCATCACACAGTTAGAAATAAGAAAAAGTCAAGAGTTTGGGTTAACGTTAGTGCTTTCCCAGCTCCAAATAGGACCAAAGCTTGACTTTTCATTTGTTTTTCACTGAATAAAAATTAACTCTTAACTCTTTCATGTTTAAGTTCCATAGACTGATGTTGTGATTTCTAGCAATTTCATTTGAACAAAAATTAGTTAAAATTCTACAATTTTTACTTGCCACTAAGTTTGTTTTCTTTTATCCAGTTATGTGAATTCATTAATTTGATTTACATTAATTACAAATTTTTCTGAAAGGTTGTGTTTATTTAAACTGTCACCCAAACTTGAGACAGTAGATTAAATTCAGTCAAGTTGCTTGCATTATATAATGAACTTTAATTCTCCATAAGAATTAGTTAAAAAACATAAGGTGTAGCTCCACCGGGACATTGATGTTTATTTATGTTATTTTCTTTTTGATAGGCAGGGTGTAAAAGTAACACATCTAAAATATTAGTAACCAATGTCCATTAAGGTCAATTAGCATATATAGTTTGTATACTGGAAATGTCTTACTTTTTTTTTTTTTTTTGTGATACGGAGTCTAGCTGTCATCAGGCTGGAGTGCAGTGGTGTGATCTTGGCTCACTGCAACCTCTGCCTCCTGGGTTCAAGTGATTCTCCTGCCTCAGCTACCCTAGCAGCTGGAACTACAGATGCACACCACCAAGCCCAGCTAATTTTTTTTGTATTTTTAGTAGACATGGGGTTTCACTATGTTGGCCAGGATGATCTAAATCTCTTGACCTTGTGATCCACCCACCTCGGTCTCCCAAGGTGCTGGGATTACAGGTGTGAACCACTGTGCCCGGCCATATGTCTTACTTTTATCATGTATTACTTAGATACAGTTTTCCGGGGCTCTATATCCTATAGAGTATGGTATACAAATTTACTATGGGAACTATTATGTCAATTTCTATTAACTTGTATATCCTTGAAACTTTTGACCACTAAACCATGTAATATTCTTTTTTTTCATGTTTTCTGTAATATAGACTTTATGTTCATATTTATGTCTCTGTTGAAATTGGAAGCAAAATTATTTAATGCTGATATTACCTCTCTTTCTGGTTAAGAGTCTTAAATGTATATGTAGTAGACATGGATACTTTTTGTGGTACTCAGTTCTTAGTCGTTCATCTGTCACTTATATAGTAATTCAGAAACTTAAGTTACCTTCTAAAACTGATCTCCTTGTGGTTCTTGTGACTGGCCATGCACTCATTTGATCAGGATAGCTCTCAAGGTGTTCTAGCACTGATCATCCATGTGTGGGGTGAAGTAGTGCTGGTGACATGTGGTCGTAGGTTGACTTGTACCTGTTAGGATTGAAATCCAGTTATATGATTTCCAGGCCTTAGAGGTTAATTATATTATTGACTTTTTTTTTTTGTATATGATCATATATTTATTTGTCCTATGTTTTCTAGGAGATTTTGGTATATGAAAAGTAACACATCAAAAATCCAATAACTCTCATTTAATGCTAAAAGACTAAGGATCCTGGCCAAATGGTGTTTTAGAGGAGTGCACTGAGAGGTGGTCTATCTCATGTAGTGGCTTGTAATGAATAAGGCCATTTACATGCTGTTTTTGTTTGTTTAGGTTCTGGGCAGAGGACAGTGAATACTGACTAATGTGCTTAATTTGAAATATTCTTTTCCCTGGACAGTCCAGGACAAAATTTTCTTATGGAGAAATTGATTTATATTTGAGAGGCAATAGCCTTCTCTTTTACTCAGCTTAATTTTCTATCACTAGATTAACAAATGAAAATATACTTTGTCATTAATTGGAGTCATTGCTTGTGTCTCTTCTTGGATTCTTTCCATCCCTGTTTATACCCAACACCTTCTCGTCCATCTTTCCAAAATATTACCTACTTACCAAAGGTT